CCTTTCAGTCAACTGCAACCTAGATTTTTTCGTATGAGAAGTTATTTACATCAAAAACGTTTGAGAAAGTGCACATTATTACAGCAGCAGGGAGGCATATACTCCTCTATCACCAAGGTGACAACAAACACAGTTATGCTTTCAGTAAGCATGTCTAACACAAACATTCAACATCACCAACTCAGTGTAATGCTTCACGCCAGCCTGTTCGCAGAGCCCCCGTCACCCCAGGTAAGCTGCCGCCACGCTCACAGCTGCCCAGTTTAATAAACAAACTCAGCACTTTCCAGCGTCCTGAAGTCTAGCAGCCAGGGTTGTAAATTCACGAGATAACTCTGGCAAGTAATCGGATGCCTGGCAAGGCAGAGAGGAGAGACAGAGAGGTTATCTAATTAGTCCTCATCCCTGAATGTTCTCCGATTGCCTAAAAGGTCAAAAAAGTAGGTTAATATGCCTTTCGCTTGTGTCTAGCAAGATGTACCTTGCTGACTACACTGCAAAGCTTGCAAGAGAGTTCACTTTCACCCAAGGGATTCAGTGCTAAGGATTTCAAGTTTTAAACTAGGCAGCTAATGGTTTGCCTATATTTAGGCCATAAGAATATCACATCTCCACCTAACAAGATATTCACGCTCCCTGGAATTCCTTCCTGTGCTATAATTCCCAGGCTTGCCTATTCTTTCAGTCTTTTTATGCTTTCTCGCCATTTCTGAACATGTCTGACCTACCCTCAAGTCAGAACTGCAGTCAGACAACGTGCGATCTAACAATACATACAAGTTCTGCAAAACTTTTAATAAATTTAAGTAGTAGGGACAGTTTATGCAGGAGCAGTGCTTCACATTAACAGGCACATGCCAGTTTCAATCCATGTTAGATTTCTCCTTCAATTTAATACAAAGGTAATTCTTATTCCATTTGGCCAGTTTTCACCTTACCAAGCTCTGAAATAGCTCTGCCTGTACTAATAGCTACGTGAAAGCTGTATTTGACCATCCAATGGGGCACTGTCAATACTGAGCCAAGATCACGCCTTAGTGTTGCATCCAAAACGCTCCGCAATGACCCCTAAATATGCACAGCGACAGGACTCAGTGGATAAATACAGCTATTAGCTGCTGCGGTCAGCATAATGCACCTGATATTTTACCTCATTCCTCCATTTCACGGCTCTCTCCTCCCCCGAGTAACTCGCCAAAAGACCTATCTCTTGTTTCTTGAGCCCGTCTCAAATTGCAAGCACAGGCTATCAGCCAGGCAGCAATCACCTTACCTAGCAGCAAGCTTTTTTTAAATCCTGGTATTTACCAAAGCAAAAATAACCGGGGAAGGCAGGTAACAGGACATCACTTTCAAACTCAGCAGTTTGTCTAATGGAAAAGATAGGAAGTATCACCTGAAGAAATGCAAACAAAATTCCCTGAGAGAATAGAGAGTATTTTATTTACGGTGGCTTTGATTGGTGGCTTAAGGCAACCACTAAGCTTATGTCTTCAATGCAGTCTCAACCCTTTTTCCTTCTGCACAAAATCCTCTTACTTAAGCACCGTTTTCAGTCTTGTTTCAGCTGATACTGCTAAAATTGTTAGATCCTGGGTTCTGCTTTCGCCCAGGCTGGTAACCCTCCCACTTTGCAACAAGGACGTGATTGAAATTCCAAGTCAATGCACCAGGAAAGAACTCGGCTCCGCTTTCTGTAACAAAAAGACATGGAGGACATCCTCTTCATACTCAGGGAAACAGCCCCAGCAAGGACATGCTCTGCGGCACGGCTGCAAACACTTCGAGTAATGTCTCACGGGTTGAAACTGAGAGTCAGGACTCCTAAGCCATCCCTGCACTGCAAAATAACACAGCCTATGCTGATGAAATATAAACTAGTAAGGTTTAATTTGCATATAGCAGGAATAAAGTAGGTAATTTATGAGAAGGGCAGCCAGGTAAGTCAAGTGCGTACAAATACATTTTGTAATTCTTCAGCCCACCTTGGAAGCAGCAGCACAAAGAGCACAAGCTCAAAGCATGCTGCTCATTTTCCTTCTAAACCCTAGAAGAGGAAGGTAGGGCAAAAGAACGGCACCAGATAAAACAAGAAAATTAATCTTACTGGTTGATGCCAAGGCTCAGGCCACCACTCTGAGAAACACAGCACAAGTTATTATCTAATGCAACTAAAGTAATTCTAAATAGAAGCCTATTTTTGGCACAAGTAAGAAATAGATCCTGTTTTCGATTCCTCACTCAAAACTTCATTGTATCTTAAAAACCCAGAAAAAGGACAGGATTGCCACTGCATTTAGCGTTATCCAGACAGCACCTGTTCTGGAAAATTACAACATTTTAATTAGGAAACAAGCAAAGCAGCTTCCTCAAGTACACTGCATTTTCTTCCCATAATAAATCCCCTCAGCTCAACTAACAGGGAAATGTCTTTTAAAACTTGCTCAACCAGCATTTACCCTCGTGCCCCATAAAGGAAATTTCAAAAGCAAACGTCTCATCTACCACACATGCAAGAGCTCAAACTTCCCGAGACAGCCCACTTGGAAGCATCTGTCCCCATCCTGCTTTAGGACGTAAGACCACATAAGTGAATTCTGGCGGCTTGATCAGGCCCAGGTGATGGGAGTCCAGTATTATTCAGCTCAAGTAAGCCACAATAGCTTAATGTTCTCCAAATGCATTGCACATTTCAGTTACGGTTCCGAGGCATCCACTCATAGTATTTGGTCAATTCTCACATTAACAAACACCTCATTCGTGGACTGTTAAGTACTTAAGAAGGCATTACAGAAAAGATGAAGAAAAAAATCAGTTTATACTCCAGCTTAAAGTGGCCACACACTTCCAGCGCACTGGCCTGAATTCTTGATCATTACGTTCAAGCTAGAGAAGCTTTTTAATTAACACAACCTATCAGCAAACAAACCTTGGGCTAAAGCCCAGCTAGAGAGAGTAGGAAGCTTGGGAAAGGCTTATGTCCTTCAGATGTATTAACTGCTCCTTCACACCACACAGGTTTCATCCATAAAGAAAATTCAAATTTTAAGTCCCCTGTGTTTAAGTGAAGGGTTTTTTTGCCCTTCTTCCTGGAAATGGCAAAGGATTAGGAAGACTTGAAGCACACACGTGCTTTGGACCTTGTGCATTAAGGAGACAAAGATTTGGTTTAGGCTTTTTAAACTCTTCAGGACTCCTAGCATAAATCAATGGGAAAGTGGGAAATTATAACGCACAGTGACTGAATATGAATAAAACCAGAAGATCAACATCATTTTGAGCATCTTTTACTTCTGTAATCATGTCTTTTGTCTGAAGAAAAAAAAAAGTCCTTAAACATCCCGTTGTATTAAAGCGGGGTAAAAAAATGGGGCTTAGCATAGACCTAAACTCCCACTTTACGCTGCCTGTACAGGCATCTTTCAGAATTTCACGCTTCTCCAGTAAAACTGCTCTCTCTCTTCAGCAGACGCTGAAACGTATTCAGTTTTATTTCAACTTGAGGTGGCACTACTACGATGTGTACCAGCTCAAGGGGGAAAAGAAACAAACAACAAAACAAAACACCTCTCTACAAGTTTACTTAGCAGAGTAAGGAGCCGTTCGGACTTGACCAAACATCCCTCCAAAGGGCAGGCAGGAGAATAAACACTGGCACCATCGCTCCCCATCCAAGTCTTCAGAAGTATCCACCTACCCAAAGCCAAACTGGACGATCACGCAGCACCGGGGAGTGCTGCAGGATCATGCGCAGCCCCCGAGTTAATCAGCTATCCTTCGCGCACGAAAGTCAACTGACGGACAGCATAGCTGACAACTGTGGAAGTAGAAATTGAATAGGGCAGCAACGTTTCTTACCGAAGAGAGGAATTGCTCTACTCAACTACAGTAATAGAGACTGAAAACAGTAATTCAGAAGAGCTGAACTGCACTTTCATTTTGTTTTACTCCCCGATGCCAACTAGTAAGATATCAGCATATATATTTACCATATGAGGAAATCCCGTTTGAACAACTTCAGCTTGACAACATTTTTCCTTCACTAATAAACCACAAGATTAAGCATCGCTGCCGTGGCAGTATTCCCTATCCCAACGATATCCTCTAACTTGATTATTTTGGGAACTTGCCTTTTAAGATAACATTTAGCTAAGCTCATATACTTGGCTAATAAAACATGGACTCTGCAAAATAGCTTAAGTCAGCATTTCTTTGAATGCACAAGGTGCAAAGGACTTGCTGTGGACATTGAAAACCTACCCTGAGCTGTCATGCTATATGGAAGGGTTTCAAAAGTGACACAATCAGTTTAGAAGAGAGACGGGCTCGGTGTTCAAGCAGCTGGAGAAGCGCTACCTTTAGTTGTGCAGTTTCACAAATCATTTAATGTAGTTTTGGTAGCAGCTGCACAAAACCAAGTTATTTATCAAGCAGCAACGCGCTTGCCCAAGACAAACAGCCCCTACCTTGCAATATTAGTTACTCTGAACAGCATGTGAGGTTTATGTATTGAGTGTCAGTGTCGCATCACGCATCCTTGGCTGTGCTTTAGTGCTTTTTAGCTGCCTCACAAATTCTAAACGGATGATGTGCAGCCAGCACTACACTAGACAGCTTGAATTTATCGTTGATTAAATTATAAATCTTGCTAAAAATTGTCTGCCTTTTCCTGGAGAGTTGCATAGCAGAAGAAATACTTGCTAACATGATCGGGACAGTTTACGTAACCTGGAAGGGAAGATTTTTATTTTTACAAAGAGTAACTGGATTCCATCCATTCGTAACCCACAATTCCAGAAATCTCAGCAGATCCACTCTCCCAAGTCCTGCTTTGCCCTGAACAGCGCATTCAGTTTATTTTTAGCACAAGAGACTGCATCTATCCAGGCAGTTTTCAAGCTTCATGTGTTGGCCTGCCCTGTTTCGCCGAGCACCTGACTGAAATGCGGACACACTTCTGAATTCTCACTTAAGCTCACCAGGAGCAATTCAGACTTGAGATGGCGAAGAGGAGACAAAGGTTCCCATCTGTCTGCTCTACACGGATATCGGTAACCCCACGGTACCAAGAAGGTGTTTGGCCTAATATCCTGTACCACACCAGCTTCTCCCAGCTGTCATGAAACTTGCTGTTGCCCTCAATGAAAGGGCCGTTTCAGCGCTTCAGTGCTCCTTTTCGGTACTGTGTTTTCACAGCCACTAAAATGAAAGATCCTGGAAGTACTCTAAACACTGGGTTTGCACTTCAGTTGAAACTGGATGCACCATCTGCATAACGTTAAGGTAACTGTAAGAGTCACTGAAGTTTTACAACATCACCTCTCCTGCAGACAAGATCAGTGATTTGTCTTGCACGCTCCTACTGGACTTAGATAGACCACGCTTAAGCTGCCACATTCTTTGAGTGGGTCTTCGGATGTGTACGCAGCCACCACGATATACGAATAACAGAGCGGCTGCCGCAGGTTCATCCCTGAAGTCCACTCAACATCAGAGACTAGCACATAGCGTTGGAAGTTCTGATCAAATTTCTCCTATGCCCAGCGCTCTCCATGACTAAACACGAAAAAATCAGGAGACAGCACAAGCTTGTAACACTCAGGAAGTTTCTAAAGGATTTGTCTTCTACCTCCTCCAAAAGACTGATATAGTTACATTCAAACCCTGACTGGATTCATCTTATACAATGCTTTCGTATCCCCTTAAAAGAAGCCGGTATCACCATTGTTATTTCACATGGAGCCTACTTGTTCTCCCTGAATTCTTTTCCTGGGAGGATTTTTGCCGTGGCAGAAGCTAGGATAGTTTGTCGGAATCCTGATTTCAAATTCTACAGTCAGGTCTCACACACACAGACTTCAGTATCTTAAACTAAGATACACAGCCGAAATAAGATGCTCCATCCTGTCACCCCCCACAGTCAGAAGTCAGGTACAGCACCTCGTTTGTTCAAACAAGAACAGAGGAGCAGAACCTTGATCTTGACCGTTCTTCACCTTTCACCAGAAACTAAAGATCTTTATCCCGCATAATACAGGTGGCAGGATCACCGTGATCATCAGCTCTGAAGAGAAAACACAAGGTATTGCCTCTGAAATTCTTACGGTTGAAGGTAAGAAGTAAAGGATTACGCTTGCTCGCCTAACCAGCCTTTATATTGCTATATAGCCAGGCAGCGGGTTGTTTCTTTTTTAAATCTAAATACGTTTGAACATTCTTAAATCGTCATGTTGGAAAACCTGAATCACAAATCCCCAAACAGTATGAAGTATCTCAGGGACTCCATACAAGTGATTACATCCACGGGGGTCACATTGCCTTAAACAGGCTCCGCAAAAGCACACGTCCATCCGGGCAGAGCTGGGAGCGGACCAGGGCCTGGGCCAGTTCCCATTCTCCTCGCTGCGCCTGTTCAGAGCTGATGAAATCTGCCCCCTTTACGTACGGCGCCAAAAGAAAACTGAAAGGGTCTGTGACCTGGACTAGTCCGTTCAGCATAACGCACAGCAAGACGGAGATTATTTTACGTGACTGAAGAAAACTAGAGGTTCTCCTCAAAAAGCAGAAAGTTCTCACCCATGCGGAAGAGGAGCGCCCACCGCTGCGACTGCTACCTGCTCTGACTGCGCCTGGTCTTCCTGTATCGGGCAGATTCCATCAGATCTTGGCACACCTTAACGAACAAGCCCGGCTTCCAGGGGGAGTGCCAGACCACGGGTGATCACTTGGGGTTTACGAGCAGCAGCAGCAGCAGCAGCAGCAGCGCGGGCCCCCATCGCTCCTGAACGCTGCTGCTGCTGCTGGTTCTCTCTCTCTCGCTCCATTTACACCCGCGTCCAGCGGGAACATTCGCCGGCCCAGGCGGAAGCATTCCCTCCGCGAACACCACCCCAGGCATCAGGCCCAGGGACCTGGAAGCAGCTGGACAGCAGAGCGGCCGGGCGGGCCCGGACGCCCCGGGCCCTGCGGGAGCCCCGGGCAGAGCCCCCCC